CTGCGCAGATTGCTCCTGTGTCTCGCCCAAGGCTTCTTCCTTCGCAGTCTGTAGGCACGACGGGTTCCCCACTGCTGTGCTGCTGCGTCCAACACCTCTCTACAGCTTCTTAGCTGGGATTCAAAAGCGCACCGGTGAATAGAATGCAGCAGGTGCTGCTGCTGCCGCTGCCTCCTCAGACCCTTCTGTAGCTGGCTCAGCTCCTCAGGGCTCAGAACTAAAGAACTCGCAGCATGCAGTATTGCCGCTACTGCGCGGTCGTCAGTACGCGTTTGGCTGTTACTTGTTTTGTCCATGGAGCAGCGGCAACTGCAGCTCTTGCTGCTGTTTGCAGTGTTCCTGGATGCTGCAGTTTTGTCCTGTTGTGTCAGAAATCCTAGTCCCCTTGAATAATCTTCGAGTTCATTGCTCAGTTGGTCTCGTCTTTGCTGCTGCTGCTCCTTTTCGTTCGACAATCCTTGAGAGCCCTCTGCCTCTGATGCCTCCACGCTGTTCTCGACGGCTGCATGCGTCTCGCTACGTGCATAGTCAAGGGCTTCACACTTAATAGGAACACTATGGAGGAGGCAGTCCTGCTGGTGGCGCTGTTGGCACTTTGCTTCCTGCTGTTGCTGCGGCTGGAGGACGCGCTGCTCCAAGAAGTCCGCCAGGGTTCGTGGCCGGAGTAAGTTGAGCTGCGGGTCTGCTAGGAGCTGCTGCGGCAGCAGCAGCAAAGGGTAGACGTCGTAAGTCAACGGTGGTGCAACAGGAAGGGGCAGCAGACAGGATGGGCTGTAGGGAGGATCACAGGGAGGCGGCGCGTAGCAGAAGGAAGGCCCGAAATTCACACAGCAGCTAGCACCTCCCATGAGGGAAACAGCCGGAAAGTACTCGTCTGCGAGGAGGCATCCTCCATTGCTGCTTCCCTCAAAGCAGCAAAGGCCAAGGGGCCTTCCGTTGACCGTGAACTGGACGTGAGACCCAACAGGAGCCTCCCGGAAGCCCTGAGTTCCCTTATTGCTCTCTGAAAGCCCCGCTGCGCTGCGGAGGAAGCCCTGGGCTAGCCTATCCACATCCATTAAACAAGATACTGCGTACGCGTCTCCTGCCGGCGCTGCTGCTGCTTCTCCACTTGTCCTTGCTGAAGCAGAAGCAGCACCGTGTGCTTTGGCTGCTGCTGGCCGAGAGCCTGCAGCTGCAGCTTGGGGCTGCTGCGGCTTCGGCTGCTGATCTTGGTCCGACTGCAGCAAACGAATGCAACAGCCCACGACGTCTCCCTCCTTCAAGGGTGGGAAGCAACAGGGCAGTTCTACCCCAGCCCAAGCGGCCTTTCCCCGTAGAGTGAGAGCCACAGAATCCCTTGTGGCCCCTAGAGGGGCTGAAGGAGGGTGCCTCCGAGTGCTCCAGCCTACCCGCAAGTCGCACTGGGAAGACGCCTGTAGTTGTCTCTGCTGCTGCTGTCGCAGCTGCTGCTTCGAGAGTCCGTCTTTGGATTGCAGCAGCAGCTGTTCCTGCTGCTGCTGAGATGGCACAGGACCTACTAAAACTTCAAAATAAAACGAACCTGCGGATGCTGCATGCGTTGCCAAGACGACGCCGCAGCCCAAATCAATGGAAGCCATTTGCCAAAAAGAAACTCCCTGCGGCCTCCCCATGCTGCTTCCCCCACTGCTGCCGCAGATGTTACTGATGCGGACACTTGGGTGTCTGTACTTTGCCGAGAGGCGAACTCGACGCATGGCTGCCTGCATCAGGGGCAGCGTCGAAGTCTGCGGGGCATCCATTCGGTCCCCTCTTTGGTGCGGCTGCAGTTGCTGCGAGTCCGCATCTATCATTTGAGGTTGCTGCTGCCGCTGCTGCCGTTGTTGCTGTTGCTGCGCCCTCAGCCATAGCCCGTCAGGGTCAAATGGAATATCCCCGAAAGCAAGGCCTACGAGTCTTGCCTTAACCGCAGCAAAATCTGCAAAGATCCTCCCGCTGCTGCTGCTGCTGCTGCTGCTTCTGCTAAGTCCCCCCTTGCTGCGGCCGAAACAGCGCAGAGACTTCCGCAGAAGACGAGAATCAAGCTGATGCGCCTCGTCCTGCAGCGGCCTGAGGCCCTTCTTGCGCGGACGTGGAGGATGATGATGGGGGGATGAAGAAGTGCCTCCGGCAGCCGGAGTTGTTGCATCTCTTCCTTGTCCCAATAGGCTGCGGGAAATGAGAGCCGCCAGAAGCGGCAACGGCTGCTTCTGCTGACAATGCTGTTGCTGTTGCTGTTGATGCTGCTGCTGAGGCAGCGACAGGCGCAGCGCTGGAGCTGTACGAGCTCTTGTACGCGCAAAAGCGGCGATACGCTCCAGGTATGTCTGCGGCCGGTAGGGGGCACGAGGATCAAGGGCTGTTTCCAATTCAGTTGGATCCCTCTTGCTTCCGGTGCTGCTAACTGCTTCCCAGCTAGTGGTACTGGTGCTGCTGAAGCTGCTGAAGCTGCTGTTGCCGCTGGCGCAATTTGGAGCGTCTGATGAGTCCTCTGTTGTGTTAAGGAGCGCTGCTAGTGCACAGGGGCTCGCAAGTGGTGTCATCAGCGCAGCAGGAGCCGCTGCTGCGGCTGTTGCAGCAGCAAATACGTCGAGGGCTTCTATGCCTTGGGGCGGATCCTGCAGACGCATAAGCCAGTCTGCCTCCATTCCAAGAGCCCTGCGGGGCCTGGGCTGCTTTGCAAGTTTCAGGTAAACATCAGGCAACAAATCTCCCGCCGCTATGTCGCTGCCGCTGCTGGCGCTGCTGTCGTCGGAGAAATGCTGTTGCTGCTGTTGCCGGTGCTGTCGACGACGGCGTAGGGCGGCACCTATCGGGGGCCCCTTGCTGGTGGCAACTGAATACGGGGAACCTTCCGCAGCGTGATGTTCCCTGGGAAGGTCAAATGCCAACTTCAAGCCGCTGCAGCGGCTGCACTTTGTGCTACTGCTGCTGTGGCTGCTACTGTGTGCAGGCGTGTTCCAGGTGCCGCTGCCGCTGCCACAGTGTTCCGTGCTCGGCTGCTCCTCGGAGCGGCTCTCCCTTTGCTGCTGCTGCTGTTGCTGGTCATGTCTTTGCAGACGAGGAGCTTTGTGAATTCGGGCTCCCAAATCGACTGAGACGGCTCCTCTTTCTGCCAGGCGCCTTTTCTCGGGGAGCCCCCGTGGCTCTCTCGGAAACCCTGCCAAATCATAAGGATTCAGAAAAAGCTCTCGTTGGGCAGCTGCTGTCCACCAAAGCGCTTTGCCACCAGTGTTGCTGCTATCGCTGGGAATCGTGCAGTGGTAATGAAAGGCTTCGGGGTGCTTCAGAAGGTCCAAGCGAAGCTGCGGCTGTTCAGGCAGGCGGAGCAGCTCTTCCTGGCTCTGCGCAGGGGCCGCCACCACCTTGGGAAGGTGAAAATGCCGGTTTCTGCACTGAGTGCAGTCAGCTGCACCGAAGCCGCCGTCGCTGCTGCTGCTTGGGGGCGACGTGGAGGCCCTTGAAGCCTCAGGGCTCGCACTGCTCAGGCCCGTCTCAGCCTTGGGCTGCACAAGGGCTCCGCTGCTCCCCACAGGACTGCTTTGCGACGGCTTGCACAGCGCCGTTTCCTGGGACTGCGCCTGTTTTGACTCTGCTGCAGACTTTAGGGGCACATGCGCTTCCGGCTCCAGCTGCCTTTGCTGGGGCTCTTGCCGCTGCTGTTGTTGCGCTGCCTGTGGCTGTCGCTGCAAACTTGGTCGATGCTCAAGCACGCTTGTATGCTGCTGCTGCCCAGGGAACTGCATACTGTGCTGCTGCTGCTCCTCTGTCTCTTGCTGATTCCCTCCTGGGGGACCAAGAGCAGTTCCGTAGCCCTTCGGAGCTACACCCGCCACCGCAGCCGGTAAATCTTGCATGCTCTGCCACGTCGTTCTCGGTACTTGTAATACTTTTGCTGCTGCTGTGATTTTTGCTGCTGCTGTTATTGTTGGTGCTGGTGCGGCTGGCGTCCCGCCGTTATTTCTGTTGCTGCGGGTACGTACCAAGCAGCAGCTGCCGCTTACTCTGGTTCTCGTATCCTTGCGGCTGTCAACGTGGCTGCTTAATACCCATGAAGTGAAGTGGGCCCGAGGTTTGATAGTTCCGTTCGCTGCTGCGGGTGCAGCAGCAGCGGAGAGCAGGCCGCGCTTAAGGGATACAGCGGAGCCGCATTGCGCGAATTTCGTCTATAGAAGGACGGAACCACGCGTCTGCCACATTGCTGAGCCTCTCCCCCTGTTGTCGGGGCCTTCCGTGCTGTTCCTGGGGGGCCCCCTAGTGGTTTTGCTGCGGTGAGGCTAGTTTGCTACTGTGGCTCTTCAGTTAGGGGTCACTCATATGCAATTTATAGTGTAATTTAATCAGCGGCAGATCTTTTACAGATCGCGTTTCTGTGTTTAAGGACTAAACAGGGACTTCTATCGCTGCACAGCTGCATGCTTCAGTCGCTGTGGGATGTGGCTGCTGCCGATTCGCAGGCCCCCTATCCATTTATCTCTACTTAAACTTCAACCTCCCGGCTACTATTGACATTTTGCCTACCGTAACAAGGAAAATGAAAGTGATCATTTACTTGTCTTTTTCAATCCGAGCATAGCCTCTGATGGCCGACGGCAGTTTCCGGACCTGGCCAGAGGCATTCCGGAGGTGGTGAGGTCGTTTGGCGTTCCGCACAGTAGACCAAAAACGGAGAGATGAGAAACGCCTGAGGGGCAGCAAAGTTACTTTCTGATAACAGCAGCGGCAGCAGCAGCAGAGGGGCCAACTAGGGCAGCGGCGAACAAAGCAGCAGCAGCTAGCGCATTGTGTCATCCGCTCCTAAAGGAACTGTTTTCCTGCCACTGTTTTCCTGCCAAGGAAACACACAGTTTAGCCCCTGCGTGGCCCTGTGGACGCGTGCCCATGCATTAAGCCATGGGCTGGTGCCAGACTCCTGCACCGTCGAGGCAGCACCTAGTGGGGACCAGCCTCGAGAAGACGCGGAAGCAGCAGTCGCAACTCGAGTGGGGAGTACAGCAGCAATGGCCTCTCTCCCGGCTGATACCGCGGCTGGATCGACCTTTTTTGAGGGCAGCCATGAAGAGGACGAAGAGAACAAAGCCCCCGAACCAAACCGCAGCAGCGATGCAGATGACCCTGGCATCCTGAAAGCACCCCCGGAGCACCTGAGGTTCACCTCCTCGTCAACTCAAAAGGCATGCATGGTTTCCGAGTCCTTTGTTTCTCGTTCGGCAGATGAGGGCTCTTCTGTTTGTCTAGCCCTGCGTCCGGTGCACCCTGACCGAAATGGTGGAGGCCGGTGTCCATATACGGCTGCTCCAATGCCTTCACCTCGCCGCGAAGGGAGCCCTCTTGGAGATTTACGCATTCGAGCTGTTTCAAAGGTTTTTTTGCGTCTTGAAGAGGCCCCCAGGGCAGTCCGCGACCTCTGGAAAATTTCTTTCGAAGGCAAACAACTGCGCAGGAGGTACACAGTTACTCAGGGCGTTCTGACACCTAGCGCCCCCCCCATTGTCCGGAGAACCACATTGTTTGTATTGGCTTCTTATCGTGCCTGCGAGGCTCAACAGTCCGTGTTGCTGTGTTTTGTGCACTTAAGCGAGATGCGCTGCAAACATTTGCCGGAGAGAGTTTTTTTTCTGTTTCTTGTTGCACATTGGATCCCGTGCCATTGTTCTTACCTCTTTTCTTTGCATAGTGCAACATTGTTTACCTTCTTCAGCACCCATTCCCCTGTTTGAAATTTCGCGCAGCTTGTTTGCTCCGAGTTTTTTTGCGTCCCCTTGCCCGAGTTCCCCTCTGCGCTATGACCCAACGCGCTTACTCGCGTAATGCTTTTATTGCTGTGGCTTCTGCCACTGCTGCAGGAAGCTTTTATTTCAGATAGACCTCAACGAGGTCTGCAGCTGGATATCAGTCCGGTTGGAGACCGATTTACTACCCCCTTGTGGGGCCTTGGCGGATTCCTCGGCCTACGCTGATGCAACTGCAGTGTACGGACAGCTGGTGCCGCAGCTGCTCTGGGCCGCTGCAGTGGCAATGTCTGCATTGATCTCTTTGACGCTTCAGGTAGGCAGTAGTGTACTGCTACGAGGCCTGCTACCTTGTCGCTGAGTTGCGGCGCTTTTCCATATGCTGGCGTGGGCGCTTTGAGTGTTGCTGTTTTCCCAGGAAGCAACAGCTCTATGGGCGCGCCTGCAGCTTCTTGCATTAGATGCCACAAGCATTAGCGCCGTTGCAGCAGCAGACAACCTCAAGTCGGGGAATGCCAGTGCGATCAGACGCCAGGAAGGATTTTCTGGTCTGTGCGGCCGCTCCCGAGTCTTTGGCCGCCGCAAGCGCCGTAGATCACAGCACCAGCAACAACAGCAGCAAGGCCACGATGACCAGCAGTTTGCTGGGGACACTTCACTACAGCTAGCAGATGTTGCAGAAAGCGGTGCGGAACCAGAATTTTTGCTGCAGCGTATCAGCAACGCTCGCAAAGAGCCCAGGGAGGTAAAAGGGCCAGCTGCGCTTACCAGGTATGCCAGTGATTCGTTGCTTTTGCAAAATTACCCCTATAGCAGCATTAACGGCACTACAAACAGCAGTAGCAGCACCGGTGTAGTATCTGAATGTGTGGTGCCTGTCCCACCTTTTAGGTACCTTGGCTCATTTGACAAACTTCAGAGTGCTACACTTTTGAGTCCTTCGGCTGCTTCTTCTCCATTCGCAGCCCTGCGTCAAGATTTAATGCAGCTCGGGGCCTTGAGGTCACCTGGAGGAGGTGGAGTTCCCCTTAGAGGGGCTTCTTCTACTGGCTCCAGCACTACAAGCCTTGGTGCTTTCGCCCCTCATCATCTTGCGGCCGCTGCTGTGTCAGTTGCAGAATCGCCCTCCAGCAAATCTAAGCAAGCAGGGACCAGCCGTCCTGAGCACTGGGCGCTGATGTCGTGGCAGTCCGCAGCAGCGGCAGCAGCTGCTGCTGCTGCTGCAGTAGTGCAGCAAGGCTTATCCCGGCGTAGCTCCTTCAGCTCGGTAGCAAGCGACCTGCTGCCCCCGTCCAGCTATCAGCAGCAGCAACATCATGGTTTGCTTGCGCAAGAGCCGTTGAGCTTGGAAGTTGCCGTGGGTGCCGCTGTAGATCCGAGAGTTGCTTCTCCCTTCAGACTGCAGCAGCATCAGCAGCGCTCGCTTTTGCCATCCGAGCCATCATCCATAGACAGCGAGAACAGCAAACGAACAAGGGATTCGATGCCAGCTATCAGGACGCCTGATGGCTGGGCCGCGGACCCGTCGCTGCTAGAGCAGCAAGATGGGGACCTTGGGGGCTGGCACTTTCCAGAAGAAGACTCTGGGTGGGCCCAAGGCAAGGGTGCTGAGGCAACAGCAGCAGAAACACCCCAGACACCAGTATCAGACACTGGCGAAGTGCAATTGGCCCTGGCAGTCCCTGGAGATCTGCGGCTGCAGGAGCTCGTGCAGCGGGTTTGGGCGACGGATCGACCAAAACGGAGGCCGGGATCGCACCAAAAGGTTCAGCTAGACAAGATAATTTCGCGTTCTGCTTTGAACGAAGAAGCAGCAGCGGCAGCGAAGGCAGAAAAGAACAGGAACAGCGCTCCAGGCACGGGTGTGGTGCCGGAGGAACCACTATCGGCCTCGATGCGTTTGCTCCAAGAGGGCACGGAGGACAGCGAAGCTCTCAAAAGAAATTTTCGGTGTTACTCGGGGATGCTAAAGAGACAACTGTGCCTACGTGCCCTTCTGCGGCAGCATCAAGAGCAGCATCTGCTTTCGTTGCAGAAACTGCCTCGCAAACGGCTCGACAGTGGACAAGGCCCGACAGCTGGAACGGGGGGAATGACTCTGGCGTGTAGGCGTAGAGCCGTCACTGCTTCTCTCTGCGTTTGTGGCTTTTTGTTTCCTTTAAGTGCTAGACGTCACTTTTTGCGTTTTCTTGCATCCAGAGCTCAGCCAGCAGCGGCTGGTCGTGGCTGACGATTGTTTCTCTCCTCGGGAAGAACCGACTGCTCCACTAGCATTTGACCTAGCTTCCCTCCCTGTTTTGTTTTTTTGTTTTCCAGATGCTATCCGTACTTGCCTGTCGGTACATCTCCGTGTTTAATAGTCCCCTCATGACTCTGTGTTGTCGTGCAGTGCTTAATACCTATGTCTCCCCGTTGCGTGTCTTTTGCTTATTGCAAATGCACGTTTGACACCCTCTAGGCCTACTTCGGTCCCCGCACTTTTGTGCACGTTTGTAGCCCCGTTTGTGCGTATGATGAAGCCACTGCATCCTGCCCCTGCTTTTTCTATCCTGCTTAATGAGTGCGCCCTACGGTTTTTCTGACAGGGCTCTCTATGCGTCTTGTGTTGCCGCTAATGAGTACTTTGGAACTGTATTGGGAACTTCAGCTTCCGTATAAATGTGTTCCTCTTCTGTATGTGGCGCGCGATCTGCTGTAGTGCTATTGTCAGGCGCTCATTGCCGACCTCTACTGCCCTCCGCAGCGGAAGCAGCATCAGCGGCACTGCGTGGTTGCTCTCTAGGAGGTCCCGTGAAGACCTTGCAACAGCAAAAACAATGCGAGTTGCAGAAGCACACTGCTACTGAAAGTGTGCAGGCGCTCACAGCGCGCTGTGCGGTGGGTAGGCCTTGGTTCCGGGAGACTCCAAATGGTGTTGATAATTCTCTGGAAGCCACACGGGAAGCTTCAGACGCAGCAGCAGACGCAGCAAGGACAACAGCAGACGCAGCAGCAGCAGCAGCTGCAGCTGTTGCTCGTCGACGGAGATCGTCCTGGCTCGACAGAGAAAACGTCCTTAGAGGCTTCGAAAGTCCGCTGCCCCCAGCAGAGTTTAGCGAAGGCAATGAGCCTGAGCCCTGGGTAGACACCAACTGGGAGGATGCCGCAGATGAATACCATCAGCAGGCGCAGGTGCACCACCAGAAACAGCAGGAACAACATAAACAAGGACGTGCGAAAGAGTCTTTGGGCATCTTTGCTGAAGAGCCACGACGACAGCAACAAGACCCCCATGTAAACGAAACATCACTTAGCCCCATTCACGGAAACTCTCAAGGCCTCTATAGGAAGAAAGACGGAGCCATTATAACTTTGTGGCCTTCTGCTGCTGATGTAAGTTGCTATTGCTGCCTTTGTTGCTGCTCTTACTGCTCTGGGGTTCTGTTCATCGTGGATATGGCACCCTGCTGGTGCTGCTACAATTTTCGCTGCTCTTGGTGCTGGTGAGTCTGTGCAGCTGTTCGAGTTGGTGGAGCGTCACTATGTGCCGGGCGCTGCTGGCTTTGCGTCACATCCCTACAACACTCCACCTCCACCGTCCGCTGCTCCTTCTCCAGCTAGTTTGTCAACTCTGTTGAATGGCCGTAGCCGCCGCACTGCAGCGAGAGCCTTTCGGGACGCATTGACACTCCACTCATATGGCCTGTGCTTTCTTAAGCAAGATATGCCTGAGCCGTCAGAAAAGGACGCTTTAGGGTATCCGCCTCTGCTCATATTTTCACAGGTACGTTTTGGGTAAGGGGACTCAAAAGGGTTCACAGGCCAAAAAAATGTGCATGAATGGAGGATACGAAGCATTATGGCCCGGCTAGGGACCAGGCTAGTGTCTGTGCTAGCTCTGCTACTACTTCAGGATGCTGCAGAGGCGAGGGAGCTTCTCGGTAGTACTGCAAAGCGCGCAGCTGCAACAGCAGCTGCGACTTCTTACTCAGCTGACGCAGCGCAATCACCAGCACCAACGGCAGCCGCAGCAGCAAATGCTGGTGCTGATGCAGTGACCGCTTTGCCGAAAGGGACTTCTGTCGAGCCCTGTGCTTTCCCTCTAGTTAACGAAGGGACTGCAGGTGGTATCCCTAGTGTCGCGACAAAAGTCACAGCAAGACCCCAGGCAGCTGCAGTTGCTGCCCTGGCAGCAGATGCTGCAGCAGCAGAAGCAGCAGATACGGGAATGGCCCCCATCAGCGATGAACAGCTGGAGCAGGCTGTACAGTGGCTTGTGACTGGGCTGTTGGACCGGCTCCAGGAGCAGTCGCGACTGCATGCCCATGAATTGGTCCACTGGTCAGCTCATCAACTAATTCTGAGTTCCCCAGGGACAGAAGAAGGAATATAGACCAATCTTTATTGCCCAGCTTCTATGGCTCAGTCTAGCGATGGGGGCTAATTCGGTGGTTTTCCTGACGTCTGTCGCCTTTTTCTAGAATAGCAGGTGCCTGTGTAATCACTACTGTGTTGTTTAATTTCTGAATAGCAGTAGTTCGGTGCGTGTTTTGGATGCCCTTGCAGGTTTGTTCACGAATTGCTGCCTTCCAGTGATTTTGCACACGTCGCAACCCCTGCAGCATGGGAGGCGAAGGCGGTATACGCAATTTGCACCCTAATAGACGAGGGTGTCTTTGTAGCTTCTGCTGCTGCTCTTGATGAGGCTCCTGTAAGGATGAAGATCACAGACAGGGTTTTTGGGGGAAATGCCACGGGACTAGAGTGTCCATTCTGGTTAGAAGGTGTCGCCGACGTCGACTAGGCACACTCCACTGCCGTTGTGAGCGTTCTTTCAATGTCTTTTGTCAAAGTTAGCCATACATGCGGCAGGTGAAGTTGTAGTGGCGTCATCTTCTCGCTCAAGGTCTGGCCACGCCAGGGCAACAGCCTGCGCTGATCAGCTGTCGTTGTTGCGATTTGAGGAATAACTTTGTAACTGTAGGGATCCATTCTTTCAGGCCTACTTAACGTTTATATTCAGGTGCACTAAACTTACGCATATCTCGTTGATCAATAAGATTACATGAGCTAGTGAGCTCCGCGGATCCTTCAACCACGCTCCTGCCTCTGCTAGACTTGGTCAATAAGGTTACCCGAGCTTGTAAGCTCCGCGGGTCCCTCCACCACATGCTCCTGCCTTTACTCAACTTGGCCACTAACTGCTCGATGTTTGCCCTGCCAGCAATCAAATCACAGGGAGTTCTCAGCGCATATGTCGATTACGCAGTCAAGTAAAGGCGAGCACATGTAGTCCTGAAGAACCAGTTTCCCAGAGCTACGAAGCTGTTCCCCCCACACAGGCCGCATTTGCCAGGAAATAGATGCCTGTAGCAAGAATTATGCCTACATGCGCCGTGATTGTAACTGCATGCGGATCTAGACTATCGGGCATGGATACCGTAATTTTTTGTTTTGTTGCACATGCGCCAAGGCTGGCATGCGCTAACTTGAGGCGGTTCTTACCGTTGTGAACCAGCCCCTAAAGTGTACATCCCGTTGAACATACTAGAGGGCGTAGGAACAGCGATTAACTGTGGAGTGTCCTGAATGCGCCGAGAGACGTAGATTCTCTTGTGCTTAAGAGTACCATTTCCTGATATTTTTGGGTCCAGAGGACAAAGGTAATATCCTCGTCTCCTTATGAGCATGATTATTCGAGCTGTTCTCGACAAAGGCGCCAACAACGGTGCAGGGGAGACACCCATAAGCTGCGCCAGTGATACCGTCACAGCAGCAGGTTTTGCTTGTGCTCTTCACGGCAGTCCAGTATTGTGGTGAGAATGAGCATTGTGCTCTTACACAGTCTCAGCATCTGTGTAATTTGCCACTTTCATTACGTATTAGATCTTGGCGCCCTGGCAGCACGAGAATAGATGAATGGCCGGCAAAAGACAGGTAGCTGCTTATTTATCATTCAAGTTTGAACAGTTCCACAGGGGTAAAAGCACATACATAAAACGACTGCGTCTGCCGGGAATCGAACCCGGGTCACCTCGATGGCAACGAGGTATTCTACCACTAGACCACAAACGCAGCGGAGGAGGGTGTATACGTCACACACAGAACAAAATATACTCTCACCTTCAGGGCAGTTTCCGTGGCATTCCAGAGCATTCCTAGCGCGAAACTGTGTGACTAGCGGAAAGAGGTGTGGCCGTGTCCAAGTGGTTTTCAGGCAGCAGAGGATCGCCGCGTTATGAGGTCAAAATGGTAATAACAGACTGAACGAGAAAACAGACAGGAAGAGTTAGTGCTTGCGGAACAAACCTGCGTCTGCCGGGAATCGAACCCGGGTCACCTCGATGGCAACGAGGTATTCTACCACTAGACCACAAACGCGTTAGACGGCGCGATTTAATTTCAGTGCGGATACAGTGGTTCGCCTTCAGTTGATTAATTTTACAGGGAATGTTAGTTAGTCTGCCGGACAGACGCGGTCTGCTCATCTCGATAGGTTGCCAATACCTAGCGAGTGTATCCCCTCTGTCTAAAATTTGACGAAATTGCATTTACGCAGGAAACGACCTTGTTCTGCACGATGGCAACGACGTGCTGGGCCACATGCTCAAGCCCTTGTGGAACTATCGGGTTCAATCGACTTTGAGAGGCTCACAGAAGCTTCTGCTGCAGCACATTCATACATTTCTCACTGTGTGAAAATATTCCAAGGCCAAGATCATGCGTCAGAAGCAGTGAAATCGGGTGAGTTCAGCAAATTACGCAAAGCAAATTGAGAATCCTCGTGTATACCAACAAAAGGCTGCTTGGAACAGGGCCCAAACTGCGTCTGCCGTGAATCGATCCCGGATCACCTCAATGGCAAAGAGGTATTCTAGAACGAGACCACAAACGCTCCGCATCTCATCTGCTCATCAGTGACTCTAGCAGTGAGCCTAGCAACACAAAATGCGCAAGTCCGGGTAATTCGCGGCTGCGAGGATCAGATCCGCTTCTTCCGGGGATCGCACCCGGGTCACCCCGACGACAACGAGGTATTCTAACACCAGACCACAAACGCATTCGTGGGTCGAACGGCATCAGTGCACAGCGTCAAATCTGCATCCATTGCACACAACCACCTCCTTGGCCTTTAGATAGATAGTTTAAGAATGCGTCTGCCGGGAATCGAACCCGGGTCACCTCGATGGCAACGAGGTATTCTACCACTAGACCACAAACGCCTCATGTATCGCTCGTTCCGACGTGCGTGCAGTATTTAGTGTTTTTCTACAATAATCAGCGGCTTCGTCAGTGTAGGTTTCGTGTAAAGCATGTGCGTCTGCCGGGAATCGAACCCGGGTCACCTCGATGGCAACGAGGTATTCTACCACTAGACCACAGACGCATAGTAATGCGCTGTCTTTTTTTGCTTCTCTGCAGTAAGACGGCATCGGTATTGTACGTAGGCTGTGCTGTTGATGCGTCTGCCGGGAATCGAACCCGGGTCACCTCGATGGCAACGAGGTATTCTGCCACTAGACCACAAACGCTGACGGGAAACCGTGAAACTGTCCATGCATGTGTTTCACCATTCCTTGACTGCACTACCTAGTCGTGGATTCATTGTTTAATGCCCTTTCATTTCTGATAACTTCGTCATAATTGTGACTTTGCTAGGTAGTTAGGTGCTCAGTCCATGAAGCCTAGTAGTTGCACCTAATGATATACTTGTATGTAACCCGACCACTGTAGCATGCTTCTGTACGTCTTTCTTTGTTTGGTCTCTAATTAGTTGCAACTATTGGAAGATTCCTTCGAATTTCCTCGCCCCTTAATCTTATCCGTTTAGCGGGTGCGTGACTGCCGTTGATTTTTGTGGTAATAAAGCAGTATCTCAGGAAACTTGTCATCTGGATGCTTACCGGACTTTGAGACAGCATGAGGTGGTGGGCCGGGGGATACGCAAAGACCACATTCCTTCTTGAAAATTCATAAGAGGCGAAAGCATGTTTCCGTAGCACTTCGTTCCAATTATGCTTAGATGGCGCGCAGTTTCAGCATCTCACATGGAGTTGACCTAATTTAGGCAAGGACAGCCAGAATGAATTCTTGATGAGGTGCGAATGTCGCTATGTTCGCACCCAGCATAAGCTTGAACCATTTCATATAAGGGTACCTAGAATCTGTTTCTTGAGTACGAGCTTATGAATGACAGCTAAAGAAGTGAAGTGCCGTATGGACTGCCCAACTTGTCTACACAGGCATAGCAGTATACCTAAGCTCTATAGCTCAAGGAAATTTGCGGCATGTGGATTCAAAGAAAAAGTATGCCAATTAGTGTGAAAGGGCCCAAAAAAAAGCTAAAATTTGTGACGTTCTGTAACATCAAGTGCAGGAAACTTTAAGGAACGTGCATAAAGATGGTCAGGCGGCGTGTTCTTCCAGCAGCTTACTGAAGGCGCCTGTTGTAGATTTGTAGTGCCTGAGAAAATCCCGTATCAAATTTTAGCGGCCAGTAGATCTTGCTATACTTTGGTAAGTTGTACATGCCCTTCCTGCTCTGTACCTTCCTACTGGCGTTGTAAAAATTGATGATTGAATCATGCGGTAGCGCCGTCATTCTTCCTGGTAAGCCGGTGTAGCTTTGTAGCAAAGTGTACAGGCACTCTTTCGGTAGCACAAGCAAAGAAGTCGAAGTTTCCAGTAGAGTACACGTCAGCTCATCAGATAAATTTGCCGTGTTCTCTAGTAACTAGTTGGATGTCAAGACAGGTTACCACAGAATACCTGCAGAGGCCCAATCACTAGCACACACAGAACCCTAGTTGCTGAGATCGGGTGCCCCAAAGGCTTTCTTGAAAAGCTCCTTTTCCTTCCTGGAGCGGTGCCCTGTACTGCATAATTGGTCACCAGCACACACAGAACCCTAGTTGCTGAGGTCAGGTCCCCCAAAGGCGTTCTTGAAGAGCTCTTTTTTCTTCCTGGAGCGGTGCCCTGTACTGCATAATTGGGGCGCTGGGCTAACTTCGCTACAGTTGGTTCCTAATGGTCCCTTTCTCTCTCAGAGTACTCGCGGTTTTATTCGCTCTTCAGGGATTTATTGGCCTGAACTATCGTAAAATGTTTACAGAGCGCTGCTGCTTCTGCAACTAGAATATCTGCGCGCTGTGGCTCTGGCATTCTGCCAGTCTTACGGAATTTTCGAGCTCAAAGTACTATATCCCGCGGGAAGCTTATAAATTCATGGGCTAGCTCTAGTCCCCTATAGCCACACTTTATAACAGCATTGCCTAGAACTAACTACATGAAGTTTGAAGAGTAAACAACGTTGCGGAAAGCTCTAAGGTGCCAAAGGCAGGGAAGCTCCCCCTCCTCTGTACTAAGCATTGGTGAGACAACAGGATCCCACAGTGCAAGCATTAAAAGGAGCATTTAAAAGGTCCTTACAGCGGTCGAAAGTGTTGGCTACCAAGTTGGTGACCTGCGTGTAGCAATCCATGTATCAATAACTCATTAGCATTGCGGGATTGCTTGGCGGTAGCGCTTTTGAGATGGCCGCTGCTTGCCAGTGACGCGTGAAGATGCAACAGCGGTTCTGAGCATTTTCCCCCTTAAGCACCTTATCGGGCTACAGATCATCTCCTCCATTGAAAGCGCATTGAAGTAGGCCATATAAAGGACAATCCTCGGCTGCAGAGCGATTCATGTTTCCTCACTCATTTGCGCTCTATAGGACGGGGCTTTGGTACTTGCATGCCAGTCACTGCGTTGCCTCGCGTCATGAAAGCAACGTTTTTTTGGCCGTACAGGACAGGGGCCTTCCCCCTCTAGCGTAACAAGTGTGACGTAAAAGGCAGAGGGTGCCTGTCGGGCACTCCAGGAGTTGGGTAACTTAGAACATATAGAGCAGAAATGGGCATATACGGCTTGGCGCCGTCAAAAGCATTCCGTAGTAGCTAAGGGCCTGAATGAGTGCTTGAGCACATCGGGGCCTACTGCCTTGTTCGCTCCTCCCTATAGTCAAAGCTAAGGCGAGATATACCTACATTTTGCGAATTCAAGGGCCTTAAGAGGTGCAGCAGCTGGGAACGTCTGGAGTGGAATTATTGGATATTCTGTGTTGTAGGGGACTGTGCTTATTTCAAGAGTAAACACTATCGCCTCAAAGCCTGCTGAGGTGCAGGGTTCACACAAACACGATATGAAGCACACCAGAACATTATCAACTAACGCTCAAAAGATGACTCCAGTGTTCAGCATATTACGCACAGCTCATGGTGGCAGTGCCGTTACGATGTCCACTTGTAGCGTTACCTATTCAGTAGGCTGAGCAACCTCCCGGTGCTCCCGCTCTTGGACAATGTTTCTAAATTTGGTGCTAACCGTAGGATTTTCAGACTGCTCCTTTCCCCCTCAGTGGTATCCGTGTTTGCTATTCATGCTTTGTAACGTCTTGCCTGCGACTGGTGGTCTTTCAACACAGAGCCGCCCACTGTGACCTCAGTGCCAGAGATTGTTAAAAGGGAATGGCGCCCTTTCATTTGTTTTCATTCCGGAAGCAGCAAATTTCGTATCTGTTTGTTCCAATTGCTGTTTTGAGTGACCTCTCACCCCAGCAAACCGGCACCGTCAAACTCGAAGCTGGGCGGCACGGCACGGCACTAAGCCAAATGAATCTCTGTCTCGAAGATTACTCCAGGCAATGCGAGCGAAAATCGACCAAATATTTGGACTTTTCTGGGAGCCATCAAGTAGTCCATGGCCCAACCAGCCCGCGCCAGCAGCCAACCCAGCAGCATTAGATTCAGTGCAGTGGGCGACGCAGATGACTGCATAGATAAAGTCTACAAACCTAAGATAATTCCACGTTTTCCCAAAAAAAGGGCAACGCAGCTGGGAGCCCTATCCAATGGTTCACGGCTTACGAGGTTATGAACATTCCGAAGACGGCTGCTATGCTGCGGGGAAAGAAGGCTGGGGCTTCTTGGGGGGCATTACGCGCAGCCGCCAATTGGGTGTCCATTCGGTCAAAGTATTCGAAGTTGTGGACTCGGCATGCCAGTGATCTTGTATTTGTGTCGTTCGGCTTGCGTTTCACACGCGTTTTGAGCTTGGAATTGGACGGCTGCCTGCGTGGTTCCGTGGGTGACATCCCAGGTGGGCTGCCCGCCAGCCGCCGTTTAACTGGGTCCCGCCGGAGTTCCGCTCGGCATTTTCATATACCTGCAGAAAATGAAGTCAGAGTGGAAGCAGCTGTTGCTTATTGCAGGTGCGCCTTACACCAGCAGCGATCCCCACGTCGCAGCCGTGTAGACTGACGTGGCCTGAAGTGGCGACCAGATGTGTCGTGTTCTTTCGCAGCTTTGCGTGAACGTACCTCCATGAAACTGTACTATTGACACCTTTGGCAGGTTCCTTGCGCTAGCATGCGTGGAAGCTTGCTTTGACTGTATGTCGTGTGCCGCGGCGAGGAGCCCGGGCATAGGCAATGTGTCGGCTATGTCCCTGCCTGCTTGAGGCGTTTCTCCCGTGCAACTAGACTTTTTGACGTAACGAGTGTAGTGCTTTTGGGCTCTCTCCTAATAGAGTGCCGGACAGGGCCCTCATAAAGGAAGAGCGCGTACAGGCTGTCAATGCAGCACGTGGGCTATAAAACGAGGTTGGGCTCGCATGCTGTGCATTGGACGCATACTCTTGAATTTTTAGTGCATTCACAGGACTCATCACTGCACAAGCGCTCAAGAGTAGTGGGCCTGTATTCACATGAGGGCGTCTGGTCTTCTCTCGAAGCGCAAGGGTTCATGCATTGGCTACAGGAGCATGTCCCTGCTGTTGTTAAGTTGCTGCAAAAGCAGTTGCTGGCACCTTGATGACATAGAATTGGGCTCTGAAAGTTATGAGGATACTTAGCGTGGCCGTTTTAGGCAGCTGAAGCCAGCAACTGCTGTTCAAACGAAATCGCTTGATTGCCGCCGGCACCCGTGGGAGTCCTGCTTTAAGTGGCGAATGAAGTTCATTGTTAATTTGCACTTTAGGCATTGCTTTTTCGCCACTGTGATGATAGCATTGGGCTCTGACTATACTGAGGATGCTTTTCTTCGCCGCAGAGAAGCGAGTGACTGACCCAAGTGGCGTATTCCTGTCACGTATTTCGTGTATTTCGTCTCTTTTGTATTTGCCTGTGTCGTGCATACGGTGGTTTGTCCGCTGTGAGCGGCTTCTACACTTTACTCTGTCCTTGGAGTTGCTACGTGCAGGTGGGGCGGCGGCCACAGGCGTGGCGTTGTACTACCTCCTCAGAGATGACGGATCAGGCCGCAAGGAAAAGGAGTCTGAAGTGAGGAAGTTGAGCAGGAATGACGTAAGGCGCATTACAACACCGGAATGCGTGTGTGCAACGGACTCCTTATACTGCCTTCTTTCGATTCCGATCTTTGTGGGCGGTTGCTCTTCCTCCACCTGTGCTTCACGAGCCTTCGCCCTCGTAAACTTTGCTTTCTCCATCAGTTGGAGAAGCAGTGTATTTTGCTGCTCTCGTGTCAGGCAACAAAGGAGCAGGTGTTGATGGTTCTGCGAGATATTCTAAGTACCCAAGAGAAGATGAAGGGATTGATGAAAAAGTTCACGCAGAAGTTTTTCGAGGAGGAATGCACGTAAGTGAAGGGTTTAGTTGGTGGGAGGGCCATCAGCTGCGTCTTACCCCACTCATGCAATATCTGGCATTATGGTTGCCCTTGCCCTTTCATGTTTCGGCACTGCCCGGATGGTCGCCATCAGCTGCGTCTTAGCCCACTCATGCAATATCTGGCATTATGGTTGCCCTTGCCCTTTCATGTTTCGGCACTGCACAGATGGTCGGTTCTTTGCCGCTTGCCATGAATTTGAGCCACATATAAAGCCACGTTTCTTGTTACTGCATGCAGTTTTGAGGAGGCGTGCGCCATGGTAGCGAAGCAGCACCCGGAGGATCCCCTAGGCCGTTATGGCCTGACAATGGCGACCTTTGATGGGCTTTTAGACAAGTTTCAGCAGGACCCAGAGGTGAAGGAGGCCGTACTGAGCATAATGGGCTCCGCATCAACTCCAAAGTAGGCGGCGCCAACGATTCATGCTGCTTTTGCTTACTCGATTCGCAGTGGCGTTATAGTTATCTTGGTAACAGATACTTCATATCTCAGCATTCTAGCCATTTGGTTTTGTTGCAGCCCCACCCCGGCGGCCTATCAGATATCAACGGATCACCTGATAAAGGTGCACGAGTTTATGCGGGACGAGCTGCAGAGTTTGGCAGCAGAGGCAGGGTCGTGGCCGAAGGCAGACATCAAGGTCATAACACTGGCTGCTCAGGCTTATGTTGGCGCAAAGGTACAAAAGAAATTCGGGCTTACTGGAGAAGATATAGAAGGAGCAGTGCTTCTCAATCACAAGGACCTTTCAGCGAATGCGAATTTTACTCTTGTGAACATGGCGATCCAAAAGACGATGAATGACCTGGTAGACGCAGACGCATGATCGGCCAAAGACGAACAGAGGGCATTATACAGAGCGCCTGTTGCGCGTACCAACGCGGCGGGTATTGTGGCGGTGACGTAGACGTCGTTTCCAGTGGAGTGCGGTGGCCTTGGATTCACACTATTGAGTAATGCCAGGGTCGAGGGCTTGGTGAGTAGGACATTTAGGGTGCTTATTTATTAGGGGAAAGGTTCCTCAAAGTTGTTTCTCTTTAGACCCACTTTTGTCGTCCCAGTGCAGCAGCTGCTGCTGTAAATGCAAAACATTGCAGAATGCAGAGGCAGCAGGTCGCGACATCAGCGAATGTTCAGACGCGAAGCGGCGCGAATAAACTGCTGCAAGAAAGGGTCTTCTTTGGCACCGTCAATTTCCGTAAGTGCTGAATTTTATATGTATTTAGGGGCATCTGCGAGCCTCTAGCTCTGTTGCTGCGCCATTTGTGGCCCGCTGCACCAGATGTGCACACGAGTTCCTCAACAGTGGGCTGTATGCACGTTGAGAGCATAAGCAAGCGTAGACATTTAACCCAGATGTTAACGATTGTCAGATGTTTCCAAGTAGGAAGGTTAGTGAGAGACCGGTGCCGTAGAGCGTTTCTGCGGCTGGGTAGTTGACTGCACTTTCAGCCTGCCAAGTCACGGTACCAAGTTACTGTAGACTGTACTGCGCAACTTCACGAGCGTCTCCCAACAGAGGTCTCGTTAAGATCGAACGAGCGCGCATATGCTCCATATTTTAGCCTGTGTAAGTTGGTCCTTGGTTGCACAAATGTCCCCATGTACGCGTACCGGACTTGGGAGCGGGACCGTAAGAATCCTTCAGATGGCTTCTAATGCACAAGCCCAGCTGCTCTAAGGACAGTTGGTCATCTGTAGTGGGTCGGTCTGAGAAAGGGGGATCGCCAAATTGCTGGGTTCCGGGTAACGAGCTCTTGGGGGTCAGGCATTAGCAGGTCGAATCCGTACAGTTTGCAGGGTGCTGCGAAGTGCCACCGTTCGCCAATGGAGCCGCACGCAGCTGTTATGTTTTACACCTGCCCAACTGTGTCCGCGGATACATCACAACAGTTGCGTGCGGCTCCATTGGCGAACAATGGCAGTGTCGTCTTTCCTGTTATTACCTTGATTCAGAGCTAGCACTAGTTAGGGGTAACTCATTATTCTGCCTACCCAGCAAGATGGGCATACTAACTGCCCCGAAATTTCGTTTCAGAGTAGGGTGTAACCACACTGCATAACATTCTCAAGTGCGTGCCGGATTGGGAGGCTCAATGTTGAGGTACCAGCGTTTGTAGACGTGAGATTACTATTGAAGCTTCTTCGAGGGAAGGGGTGAGTAGGGGCTGCATTTCTGTGCACAGGAAGCTAAAGATGGCTAGGTAGATGGGCAACAAGAATTGGTGAGGCCGTGATCATGGTATCTCGCCCCAGTTAGGGATGTTGAGGATAAGCTGAAGAGATTTTCTTCATCGCTGAGTGCTCAATGGAATCGCACCGTTTGTTGGATGGAAACCTTTTTGGGTAAGTGTACACGCTCTGGTTATAGAATGGTGCATGAGCCAAGTGATGCGGCTTCATGTACTGCTCCACTACAGTAGTTTATCTGCATGCGCAGTTGTGTATGTGTATCTGAAACGACTTCTCGAAAACTAAGGTGCGGGGGTATCCCGAACGCGTACTTCAGGTGCGGATGAACAGATACCGAACGCGTACTTCAGGTGCGGATGGACAGTACATCAGAGCAGATATCGTTACATTGGAAAAAACTGTAGACAAAATAGGTGCATAAGAGTGGCCGCACACTCAGATTTGGCAACTTTTTACTGGATTAGTATAGGTTGGGAAGGAAGCACTGCTTGCTAACTTGTCTGGAACTCCAGAGGAACGTTGCTGCTACACTGCGAAGTTCGTTACCTCAGGGAAATCTTGCCCAAATAAGATCTACAGAGATCCTAAATATTTACAAGTTAATCAAGGGGTCACGTTACCCCCTTTGGGACAAACGCATCAACCAAAACCACCAGAGTACAGACCATACCTTCACAGCGTGTGGCTGCTCCGCAAGACCGTAATACTCCCTCATATACTTACATGCCAATTCCTTGCCTTTATTTGATGCATGACGTCGTCCTTTTACACATTTTCCTCAGGCTTTTGTGTATTGGTATACTAGCGAGCTACGACGGGCAAGCGGCCCCTACAGCGTATGGTGGTGTACAAACCTGAACTCCGTTTTCTGCACAATTCCGTGGGATATGTTGAATTTTATTGCCTCTTTCGGGGAACGCTGTAAAACTGAAGCGTTTTAGTTGACGATATTGCGCATCCTCCTTATCGTCATGGGGCCTTCAGACTTGCCAGCACAAACAGGTTTCACTATAACGGTGCTTCTCTCGGATTCCACACCTGCCACTGTGCTTCACTTTGCTTGACCCCTATATTCTTGAGATAAGTTGTATTTCTTTTGGTCTGTGTAGTGTAAGACTGTAGTTCAGCTTTTATGGTGTGCTTGTTGGAGGTTTTGAGGGCCGCTGCTTGTGATGTTCACTGCTAAGCTCTGACCCGCACCTCCCTCTCAACTCTTCCACTCTACATATTGTGAAAACTTTCCGGTTCTTTCTAAGTCTACTACTGTGAGAGGTGGCACTGCAGTTTTCCAGGCCATATAACAAAACCTCTCTGTGTGGGGCCCCCTGGGGCCCCCAAGACATAGTACGCGCCAGGCATGTTTTCCGTGGTCCTTGTGCAGCGGCTGCTGCGTTTGGTTTTTATGGGAGCTATTGCTGCAACGACAGCGAGGAGTCTGACTCAAAGCAAACACGTACGCCTCCATTATTTGGGATTTGTAGGGATCTGTCAATACAGGACAGTCTCACTATGGCGGCTCCCACGGGTCTCCTTGCTGCATGATTTCGGCAAACGTGACACTTATTCAGGCCTTACAGCCTCAATGGGCTCGGTGCCGGGCGCTCACTTGAGCTCTGGCGAGTTGAGCTCACTGACTTTTGTGGAATGGGGTAGGGGCCCTACTGCCCCTGCAAGCTCTGAGAGGCTACTACAGCAGCACGGCAGGAAAGATAATATCAGTCCGATTTCTGGCTTGTTGTTTTGCACAACGTGGGACCCTCGATCTAAGGCGCTAATATCTGCTCTTAGGTTGCTGGAGGAAGAGGCTCGACGGGCCCGTAGGGCTCTCCATCTTTGCGAAAATGGGCTGTTGCAGCTACCAGTGTACCCTCTAATTGGAGTACGGATAACCAATAGCCTTGTTATAGCAAGGAGTAGAAGGGCACTCACAAAACAGCGGCGGATGGCATGCAACATGAAACAGCTACGCCACAATGAAAGGGCCTTGAGATTCATGCTGCAGCAGCAACCGCCTCTGCAGCTAAAGGGGCTACCAGCACTCCAGCTGTACACCCAAAAGCAGCAAATCCAGGAGCAAGGCAGCGCTGCTGCATGCACGGTTCCGATGCAGAAGCTACTTGAAATTCGCTCTATGGGGCCTCGAACTCTACAGCGATTAGGGGAAGACGAAGGCGCCTTACTTGGAGCCTGGGGCCCGGAGACGCCTCCGAGCAACCCATCAGCAGCAGCTGCCCTTGGGGCTTGGTTGCGGCGGCTGGGCCAGCTATACGAGGAAGAGCTGAAGATAGTGGTACAGAAGCGGCTTCAGCAAGCAGAGGACGAGTATCCTATCTACGCTTCTTACAGTCCGTAGACCAGAAGCTTTAAGGCAGTCTCAGGACGTAGGCAAGGCGGAAGTACGTGCAAAAGGCGTCCCACAGCTACCAGGGAAACAGCTCAGACACTAGGACTTAAACGGCCGACCCAAGCAGCGTTGAGGGAACAACCGTACAACCAAAGACCCAACAGTTTTGAATGAACGAAAACCCCGGCGGTACCAGCAGGAGCTGTTAAGCCTCTGGGGATGTTACAGGTCAAGTAGTCTATTATCTCTGCTCTCGAATTCCCATTTTTGCTAACTTCCGTTTGAGCTGGACAATGCCAGAAGCTTAGTTGTGCCCACGTGTAGGCGATACAGGCAGAGGCCGCCACTGGATTTGTCCGCGGCTCGTGCTGTACACCATAAGTTTTAGAACAGCAAGTCCACGAGCATTGGTTCCTTGTTCATACTAAAACATAAAAACATCATTTGTCTACTTCGTTTTGTCGTGAAAATAGGGGCCTTGTGTCCTTGGCAGTCTGGCAGCTCCCCATCAGAGGGGTGGCCAAACTAGTTGAATAGAGCGAGGCAACTAGCCAGACGCGCATACACACAACTGCACGGGTTGCGTCAGATAAACCCAGTCTCCAAAAACTGCTGCCGGGACACTGAAAACTGCATGTATACCCCGTCATCATGTGCCCAGTTGCTAGCGCCTAGCCAAGCGCTGTGTTGAGGGTCCTCGTGCTGGTAGATGTGAATTTGCCAGTGCTGTAGCAACCACATCGGGAGACAAACACGCAGGAGTGCGTCACATGTAACGTAGTATCGCCGAATGTGTCAGGCATGCAATCCAGGAACAGGTAATATGCGGGCACAAGAGCCTGGAGGTGCTACCGAAGGTAGTCAGCTTAGCACATCCCCTTACCTACAGGCATTGTCCAGACAACACGCGCGCACACGGGATACAACAGGTACAACAGGCAAGCAGGCGCAGGTAGCGGCCAAAAAAACTTCAGGAAAAGATACGGACGGGAGAAAGTAGGCGTGACGGGATAACGCAGCTCGCACAAATCCACGCCCTACCTCCGGCAGCAATCCGCGTAGCTCGTGCCATAGTCTTTCTTTGAAGCCCCAAAATTTGGTACTGCCGCCAACAAGAAATATCTGAGAGGAAAGAAAGGGCTGGGCTTCCACAGGCGCCTTGCAGATCGCTCGGTACACCAGCTCCGCCACCCCACACTCTGAGCTGCCTCCGTCTGATGGAAACGCAGTGCACTGACGAGCAACAAATGACTGCAACTTAGGCTTTTTCACTTTCCCCTTTCCTCAGACACACAGAGCACTTGAGCCAGCAGCGGCGATTCCCCTCATTCAGAGTTTTCAAGAAGATGCGACCATGGAATACACACCTATTCGCATCTCAAAGGGACCTACACCAAGCACGCACATCCCAAGATACGTAGACACCATACTCTTGACACACTTCAAACGCTTGAAAAGGATGACGTCGGACTGCATACGTGCCTGTCATGCATTGTGCACAGGAAGAGTATGTAAACGCACATAACAAGAAATGAATTCATAGAAACGCATAAACAACCTTGTCCTCTGAGGTGAATGGCAAAGGATTAAGCAGGAGCGAGGAGCACTCAAATGCGGAAGTTCCTTGCTTGCCTTGTGGCCTAAACAAAATTTCCGGCACCACCAATCTCTCTGTCGAGAGCTTCACTGTGGGCCTTGTCGGAAGGCCGTGGGGGGCCCAGGTGTCATCCGTGGCCCCCTGAACTACCCCAGGCGGTTCCGGAGCTGCCGCCGTTGGAACGGCCGGCGTAGCTGAGGCTGTATCGCGATTGCTGCTGGTGCTGCTGCTGCTTTGGTGTATCTGGGTTTGGTTCAACCCCTCCAAAGAAGACAATTCTGGAATAGGCGCAGGGGAATGAGTGTGATAATAGGTAGACAACTGGGCTTTCTGCACAGCGGCAAGACCACAGAAACCGGAAGCCCCTTGGAGAATTCTTTGGCTATGCTCGGGGGCAAGTTCCTGCTCCAAGCAGCCTGCAGTGCACTTACGACATTTGTCTGAAGCGCTGATTGTCCATTAGCCAAGGCACGTCAGGCAGCTAAAACAGCTTTCCCGTAAGAATAGCGTTGCCCAAATGAATTAGAGAAACTACCAAACGAGTATCTACAACGCACTTCATCAGTACTAAATGCTCTAGATGCATCTCCAAGCTCACTGTAAGGGAATAATCCGGAGTCTCTCTCTCCACGAACAGAGGCCCGCCCAGGCGTGCCGTGCTTCTGCCTCCTGGTAGACTGCTCAGCTGTTTCAGGACCTGCATGAGATCCCCCGCGAAGAAGCACGTTTCCTCTTTTAGCTGCACCGACAGAAAACGCATAGAAATGGTTCGCGCAGTGCTCTTGTGAGTTGCGTCCTCATTTTTCTCATCGGGAAGTCTAAATCCTCCCCTACTTTGCTTACTTTCTGAGCGAAGAGCTCGTTCTTCTCGAGACTGAGACCTCGCGTTAAGAGCAGGTTCTTGAGGTATGCATTAGCGTGTGCTCCTCCGATTTCAGAGCGAAGGGCTGATGCTTCCAAAGTGGAATAATTCACAAATGGGACAGCATGAGACAAGCTAAACCCTACGTCTACAGTCAGTCCAAAGGGGTTTCGTCCAGGGCTCACCTGGCCCACGGAACCCAGGTCTGTTGCTGCTGCTCCTGCTGCAAGCCGCGGCGAGAAACACGGATCCGCCGAAGTTGTTGCGCCAGTCCCGCCGCCCTTTGTTTTGGTAACAAGGGCTCCGCGTGCGCCTGGAGTACCGACAGAACTCCCATCAGGTCCGCTGTAGCACGTAACCCCCATGCGCTTAGCCCTGGGAGGAGCGCAGATGTCTTGGGCACCCCAGCCCATGCCCCAAAATGCATAAGGGATGACAGCCTGAGCTGCTACTATGGCTAAGCGCTCAACACCCAGATCTTCAAAAAGGATTTCGCTCACATGGTGCCTTAGGGGAGCTGGAGTGAGGAGAGGCTCTGTGAGGGCGACACCGTTGAGTTCCTTAGGGTCTGCTCCCAAATATTTGCGGCTAAAGCTCACGTCTATCAGGTCTCTTAGCATCTCCAAATTCGCCCAAAGGCCACCTTGGCTAGGGCGGGAGCAGATGTACTCCTGGAGGCAGTAACACTCCTCCGCTAGATACAGCTGAGGACGCCGGCGTACAGCTCCGGCGCAGGTGGGGAGCACATACCGAGCCCTGCCTTCCCCAGCCCAGCCAGCCTTAATCGAGCCAGTGCCTAGGTCCAGCACAGCCCTTTTGCTGTTCTGCATCTTCCATCTCCGACAGAACAGCCGAACTGTAAAGATTCACAAGTCGGGAAAGAGAATTGCTTATTGCTTCGGGGAAGAGAATTTCTTATTGCTCCATGAAAAAGACTTTTCACAATATCAAGAAAATGATGCAAACTGCCGCTTTACATGTCATTCAGTCAACGTGGTGGGAAACCTTAATGGGCGACTCCCAGCTTTGCTCCAATTGCACGATGGCACTGGGAAGCTGCGCTGATCCCAGCGCCTGCATCGAATACTGTACCAACAAGCACCTTACAAAAGACCTGAAAATCAAGCCAAGAATCCCGCCTAGAAGAACCCATGAGTGCTTGTATGCGGGAGTACGCTAACCAGCCACGGTGCCGTCTTCTTTGCTTGAGGTGCGAGTTCTGACTAGCTTGTGAATCATTGGAACAAGCTCAAAAAGTAAAAGAACTGCGATGTATGGAGCTGGTGCTGTCAAGATATTGTGAACATAACGTTTCCCCACTAGACATTCGTTGCTGGAAATGAGTCTGGAGCAGTCCCAACCGTAATTCTGTCTTTCCCGCCTTCCGTTTTTTTGCATGGCACAACTACAAGATACTGATACGTGAGTTTTGCATACCTGGTATGAACAAACATTCCTTTCTGTCGTTGGTGTTTTTATTGCCCGGCGCTGCACTTAAGAACCCCACCCCGAGTAAAAGTGTCACCGCCTCACTTCAACCTTCAGAGGAAATTTTTCGCACTTCGAGCATATTGTGGGGAGCTTTAAAATGCCCTGACATGTTTTGGGTCTATATTTTTAGAATAGATTGGCTCTTAAACGGAACGCTGTCGTGTCATCTAAGTCCTACACTTTCTCTCTGAGCTCGCCACAGCTGCCTAGGAGACTCATCCAGAAACAAATAATCATGCTGCGTTCCAGAAACACCGTATTTCTCTCTCAGTGTGTAAATAATGGAAAGAGTTTCTCGGTGTTAACGGCAAGCAGCTGCAGGTCAATGGCCCCAGAGCTGATTGTTGAGTTTCGCATTATCAAGTGTTTGAACGGGAACAGTACCTTGAATGGATCAAAATGAATAGCTAATCTTAATTCCCGAATTGGTGAGATCCATTACAAAGACCTTAGCGCGTCTCATGGCCTAGTCGCAAGGAGTAGGCTACATGGCCAAACGTGCACGTGGTGTATGCTAACTACGCGAATAGTAACCCAAAGCCGCAAACTCCTGCTACAGGCTTTATACGGACCACTATACTGAATATGCGGTGAAGTTGAGAATCAAACACAGTAAAGGGGCAGGGGTAATTTTCGGTATAGGCAAGAGGCAGTGCTACGAGGAGCCAATATTGCAACTGTGTTCGCTCCTCAAGATCGGCGTAAGATCTTCGACATGGGTCTGGTTCATGAGATCGTATCACTCACGGAAAACTGCGAAGGTCCTACCTCATGGAACAGTAGGCCAGGTGCAGACGCAAGACCCTGGAGGCTTTCCCCGTAGACTGTGTTCAACTTGCATGTATGTGCAGATATTAGTCTCTGCTTGCTGCGTGCCTGAAACAGTGCCAAGACCTACTTGAAAGTGTTGCTTGGACTCATGATAAGGGGGGCACAGAAACCACTGAAACTTATTGTGAGATCGTCTCACTAAGAGCGTCGACCCGGGAGCCACTGAAGTTTCTTGCAAGACCGTCACAGTAGGAGCATCAACACCCCATGCTGTTATCCCTTCCCCTG